AAATTGTCATTTAACTGTTTCACCCTGTTGCCATTTTGTTAGCAATGTTAAAATTTATTGTCTACAGATTAAAACCAATCAAGGTCATGATAGCTTTATATCCAGTTGCTGATCATTAATGATTAATTATTTTTTCACTTGACTTATGCATTTTTTGTTGTTGTTTTATTTCTTTTTTGATAGTCGTGAAACTTTACAGCACCTCCTATTTATTCATGTTAAACACCAACATCCATGTACATTGTTTGTATCAAATAATCAATTAGGTAAAAAAGCAGGTGTTAAGTTTATCGTACAACAGTGATTTCCCCCTGTATTTTACAGTCCAATAAAGGCTGTTTCCCCTGAGCAATTACCTCGACAAGCATCCTGTCCAAGTTTGATGATGATTGAGTCAAAAATGTGACCACTAGGGTGTTAACAAGATTTTTCTATTTTTAGCCTCTGTGACCTAGTTTTTCACCCGAGATGACCCATGTTCGAACTCATCCAAACTATAACCTAGACAAGCATCCATTCCTGAGAGTGTTAACAATGTTTTTCTATTTTTAGCTCATGTGACCTAGTTTTTCATCCGAGATGACCCATGTTCGAACTCATCATAGCTTTAACCTAGATAAGCATCCTGACAAAGTTTGATCATGATTAAGGCAAAAATGTGACCGCTAGAGTGTTAAAGCTGCGGTCTCACTTACTCCCGACATAGCCCAGGACCACCCCGGTAAGTTACCGGGATGATCCGGGACGATCCCGGGTGAAATTATTGTTGCGGTCACACTTACCCCGGCAGAACTACGGTAATTCCCAACTAACCACCCAGGATGCGCTTCGGACCATCCAGGCAGAGCCCGGGTGAAGCTATGGTTCATGAGGGTGCTTCCCCGGTCGTTCACGGATGACGCCGGAAGAGCCACGGTTGACCCAGGCAGAGCTCCGGTCGATCCAGGCAGAGCCCCGGCAGAGTCCAGGACGATCCAGGCAGAGCCCCGGTAGAACCCCGGTGGATTGAAAACGCACGAAAATGATATATTGATACATAATTTTTATTTAATATAATATCTATTGTTCTAGAATAGTAATTCATGATGATTTTATGAAAAATCCTTATGCAAGACTGGATAAAGGGCAAATGGGAAGGGTTTCAATACAAACAAGTGCAATCATCGCAAATTCTCATGATTCTTTTGAAATGAACAGGGCTTTGCCGAGGCTCTACCGGGATCAACCGTAGCTCCATCGTCATCTTCCTGGGCTCTGCCGGCATCCTCCGGGCCTCTGCCAGCATTCACCGGGGCTCTACCGTATCTCTATCGGCTATATCATATCCCGGATCATCCCCGGTTTGTGCCGGCAGAGCTACGGTGCTTCCCTGGTGTAACCCCGGTCGTTCCCGGCAGAGGTTAGGATGAAGCCGGCAAAGCTTTACTTCCCGGATCATCCCGGACCAACCCGGTGATATTAAATATTTTATTCCACCCGGGGTTGAATGCTGGATGTTCTCGGATCATCCCGGACGTTGTCGGCAGAGTTACGGATGTACCCCGGTTGTTGCCGGTCGTACCCCGGTCGTTCCCGGATCACCCCGGACGTCTACCGGGCTCTGCCGGGATGTCAGTGAGCCTGTAGCTTAACGAACAAGTGTGGACGGACGACGGACGACAAACAACGGACGACGGACATTCAACGATCCTAAAAGCTCAACCTTAGCCAGCTCAGGTGAGCTAAAAAGCATCCTTATCAAACTACCTTTTTTTAAAAAAACAAATAATATTATTTTCATTTCACCATTTATTTATTCTTTGGTTTAAAATACTAGTTAACAATTTACCAAGATGACTTAACAAAGTTATTCATCTGTAATATTGTACGTTTTCTTTATTTCCTTTTTATATAATGGTATTATACAACCTCCTGTCCAGATTTCGGGAAAATGTCAGATTCTAAAATATTGTTAACAACGCTGTTATATGATCAGAAAAAAGATCGCTGGCTTCTATAAAATATTCGTTTAAAAGATTATCTTTCCCTGCCACTTTATTTCTTTTAAGCATAGAAATCGCTTTAAGTACTTCATGTAAAGTAATTTTTCCATCTAATTCAGACAAAACAGGGTTAAAATAATTAAAATTATGGACATTGTTAAAATATTCTGCTCTTTCTTTCAAGGAAAAATTTACCCCAGAGAACATAGTTTCAAAATATGTTTCAAAATCGTGCAAAGGTATTTCATAATTACTACTTCCCTGTTGCTTTTTAAAATAGCGCAAAAAAAAAACACGTGGCTTACTCTTTTTTAAATTTTCAAAATATTTGGTTTGTTGCCATTTAAATGAATGTAACGCTTTTTCTTAATATATTTATACCTAGCTTTAAGTTGAGCTAATTCTAATCGACCAGTCTCTTATGTGACATATTAAACTGTTTCAATGCATTTTTGTACGTTTGTTTTTGCTTCCCTACAATCTAAATCAAACCATTTACAGGAATGCATCAAATCTTGGAAATGTACAGCCATGTTTTTTATAATAAAGAAGGATCTGCCACATCCCTTACAGCACTCGTGATTAATATCACCGTATTATTTACACAGTTTACATTATTTACATTACATTTCAATAATATATAATTCAAAACAGGCAATGTTGCTATTATTCCAGAACGATATAATTCTTTATCATTGTCATTTATCATTAAATAGCTCTGTCATATGACCAGACAAATACATTATACAAAATAATTTTGCTATCATTCCAGAACGATATAATTCTTTATCATTATCACTCCATTTGATATACTCTTAGTTTAATACATTTGAACCAAAATGTAAAGCAGCATAGTCGCTGAATTCATTAAAATTACAGACATGAAAATTGTTTATCATTTCAAAATCTTCTTCACACAATAATAAAATAATCTATCAAGCCAGTCGACCGTTTGCTATTCTAAGGGAGGCAGCTTTGCACATGTCTACTAATTTATTACCTTACGAGTTACTCCCCTTGTCCATTGAAAAATCTCAATACAACGATCATCGGAGTCGATGTCCATCTATATTTCTTTGTTGCAAGTGTTTTGAATAACTGCGTTACTTTTACATATTTAAATATTTATTAGTATGATGTAAAAAGGCTAGTGATTAAAAATAACTAAAAAACGATAAAGACAGGATAAATTTAAAGTGTCTTTGATATCAAATTATGATGCAAATATGCACAAAACTAGTACATTACTGCATGTTTAGTTATTTTATTTTTAACATCATTAATCAAGTGAGCGCTGTTGATGACATACTAAAGGTATTTAGTTAGTCTGTATGCAACAAAAGTTAACAGAGCAAACAATATTATAAATCGAATAAACATAAAACCCTTATTATTAAAAATATTTATTTAGCATCTTATTATTTTAACCCATTACCGCAGGAGAATTTTGTGAAAAATGGCTGTTTTCATTGAAAAGTATCCCGTTACAAGTTGAAATTGCTATGAAACATCAAAAAATGCTTCAGTACTAATCCAAATTGGCACACATGCTGACTGGACCATAGCCGTCGTAACGGCTTAGTCTTAAATTTCCTCAAACTCAGCGCACCGGTTACGCTACGGCCAGTATCTAATCCTGTAAGGGGAGATCACTGCGTAGGTTTCAAGGTTTCAAGGTTTATTTGAATAAGTCAGGGCCCATATGGGCATGTGACAGCATAAAACAGTACATACATACAAAATAATACAAAATGGCAAATAATATGTAAAAACAAAATACTACAAAATGGCAAATTATAAATGGTCATACAACTCCATGATGTAAAAAATTACAGTAATAATTGAACGGAGTTGATTGGTAATGGAGGATGAGAGAGAAAAATCAAAAATCAAAAATCATTGCGAGAAAAAACAAAGAGAAAAGACATAAGTCTAACAAGCTAACCCTTTTTGTAAATAATAACATAATATTTTTGCAAAATATGGCAAGTTTCAAAAGGATATCCTTATTACTATGGTTCATTAATTTTTCAAATTTTAAAGCACTTGGACGTTCATAGAAATATTTATCAAGATACAGCTTTCTTGTATTAACTAAATGTGAACATTCAAAAAGATAATGGAATTCGTCGCCTAAAGAGTTACTGGTACATAGGTTACAAGTTCTAAGTTCTCTTGGAATATCATCAAACCTTCCTTTTTCAATAGGAAGTTTGTGATTCATACTTCTAAATTTAAAGAGAATTAAAGCTAAATTCATAGGTAACTTGCTGAGGTATGGGTAAAAACAAAAATCCTGTTTATAAATCCTGTAATTTAGACATTTACTGGAATTAGTTTAAGTTGACAGTATATTCTTGAATGAAGCAGGAGATTGAAATTTCCTGTTAAAATGGCAACGAGGCGACATCTCAAAATTTCCAAAAATCACTATTTTGCGTTGATTTTTTTTACATCAAAAGTGATTTCAAAGTGCTGCAACTTCTCAGTGGATTGAGAAAAGTCAAAGGCTTTTCAGCGTTGGTTACACGTTACCTTTTATTCGACCTGACGTCATTTTAGCCTCTCACTACACTGTAAATGTAAATGTTCAAGAATAGAACACATCTTGAACGCCTATTTGCAACAGATATTGAACGCCAAGACGCGTTCCATTTCTTAATACTAGTGTTCAACTTTTGTCTCCAACCGTTCATATACTAACGCCTTATGAACATCTAGGGTTCAAATTTTAACGTTGACGTTAAAATCTTAACACCAAACCATTCCATTATAGAACATGTTATGAACACTCAGGTGTTCTACTTTTAAATGCCAGACGCGTTCAATTTCGATGCAACAGATATTGAACGCATAGAACATGTTCAAAACTAGGTATGTTAAAAGTTAGAACACTGATGAACACTTATGTTAACATTTGAACACCTGATAAAACAACAGATCTAAGTCAAAAAAACAAAGAATCATATTGAGATTTTTTAATTATTCTTTAGTTATTCACAATAACAAAATGAATAATGTTATCCAAATTTCTTATTATTTTGTAACTCTAAGCCTGATAAGCAGTTATAAAGTAAAAAATGAAAAGATTTTAAGATTAACAATTATGATCAAAATGTAAAAAATTAAATACTGTTTTACAAAGTTCTTTCAGTAATTTGTTTGTACATGATAACATGAATCTTGCGTTTCATTTTATACCACAAAAATACGAGTAATCACACAGCAACATAACCTGTCTCTCAATATCCTAGTATTGTTTCACTTATTGTTATTACATGTTGTATTTTTATGTGTTATATTCTTGTGTGCATGAATGCAGTCTTCTTAACATATTAACACAAGAATTAAGGATAAGTTCCTAGATTTCTTCGCAAATACAAACTGCTGCGAGAGTACATAAACAATAATCAATATTCTATGTCGAAACGCAAAAGGACAGTTGCTCCCCTCTGTAGTGTATGTCATCAGTTTGTGCGGGGTGTTTTCATTTGTCTCCAATTTAGCAGGAAAATCATATTCTTCACTATCCTGGAAAACATTAATGAAATTTATTAACATGCTTGTGATTTAAAGGCTTATAGTTGTTTCCTATGATAGAAATCATTCTGTACAGTTCTGATATAGAGAATAACAGCCTAAGTGCTTGACATACATGTATATAATATATATATCATGTTTAAGCATTATCTAACAATTTATCAGACACCACATTCAAGTCAGATTATCTTAATACAATTCTGACATCACCAGGGCCATGCACATTCTCACAAAGTCGATTTGAATCCGTAGCTTCGACTCTTGTACGACACAATTTATTTGTGACACAATGTCAGGCCATCTTTGTAACAGTTATGGAATGTAAAATGATTTGATAAACAATAAAAGCTCATTTGGAAATGTTAGAATTTAAATTTTATCAACCTAATATTGTTTAAGGAAACAAACCTCAAAGATCTGTATGGAAGTCTGGAACAGTTTCTGTAGATCTACAGTCTATAGTTCAAATCTTTCATCACTGCTTGAAACAACACTACTTACTCGCTATCCTATTAAAATATAAAGCAACACAATTTATCTTACAAAGATCTATACATAATTTCTAAATAATTCATTAATCTTTGCATTTAAATAGATCTAACCCGGACTACTCAGAAAAAAATCTACAATATCACATAGATCTTCTCCTTGTATATAAGGAGACACGTTAATAACTACAACAATATGACGACTTAGTTCTTTTCAGAAAAATAAAATAATTATGGATATAAAAGAATGCTAAAGAAGTAAAAGTTAATACCGTTTTTTTCTCAATTTTAGTCATTGTTACTGTAAAGTGTTCAGCTTGCGTTTCGCCAACGCTTACTTGTTGTTGTTGTTGTTGTTGTTGTTGTGGTGGTGGTACTTGAATGACGTCAGAAATTGTCACAAATGTATTTTTAGAAACGTTCTCAATTAGAACATTCGATGAACGCTACTGTTCATATCATGTTCCATTTTAAAATGTTTTAATTATTAAAGCACCATTACTTGTTAAATTGCGTAAATGTAACCCCAACTGACAATATATTGACCAAAAAACTTACCCAAGTAGTCAAAAACTCAAATTCTTTCATGTTGTCTAGTCAGAAGGACTACCATTGAACACTGACGTTCAAATGATAAGTGTTCAACTCGTAAATAGAACTCCTTTTCTGAACACAGGCATTAAAAATATAAACGCGCAATGTTCCAAAATTGAACAAGTGTGAACGCGTCCGGTGTTCTCCTCATTTACAGTGTAGTCCTTAATGTTCTTGGCAACTCCTAAGTAGAAGGGGGAACATTACCCCTCTGATGTATCGTTTTAATAGGGGGCCCGCCGAAATTGTGAACATTTTTTTAAACAACATTTCTCAAACAAAAACAAGTGTTGGGGACCTACATAAGGCATTTTTTCACCATTTGAGACATCAAGGGGGCATGAAAGAGGCGTTAAAAGGCATGAATACATGGTAATGGTTTAATATTTCATTGTATGTTGTTGTTGTTGTTGTTGTTGAAGTCTTGTTGGGAATACTTTACATTATTTTTTTTTTCAATATTCATATATTTAATCAATTAAGTCCCTTTCATCATTCAAGATACTGCCACTAATAAACACTTGTCATTTAGTCTTTTCAATTCATGTGATCATTTATATTTAACCAAGAGACGCGTCGATTTGTTTAATTGACGGGCGATTACCGGTCTCCTCCAATCGACGGCCTATGAAGACCGGGGACTGTAGAAGAACATAATAATAATAATAATAATAATAATATCTTTATTTAAAGAAGGTTACACATAAAGAACAAACAATAACAATCATATATATCTTATTTCCAATGTGGCCTTCAACAACAACAGGACATGCATAGGTAGTAAAATGAATTTATAATATGTAATTTTTAGAATAATACAACTCATATACTTTCGACAGACACTCAACAATGTGTTTAAAGATATAAGTATATTGCATCATTCGTTCGTTCATTCGTTCATTTATTCATTCATTCACTCACTCATTTATTCATATGAACATCAATATATGCTTTGTATTTTTCTTTAAAACGTTTAAGGTTATTAACACTACGAATATTTAAAGGTATATTAATTGTTCCAAATGTTCATGTCATAATAAGAAAATGTGTCTTTAATATAATTTGTTTTAGGTCTTGTCCATAATACAATATCTTTTCGTGACCTAGATCTTAAGTTATATATTTTGTTGTCGGATAAAGTCATCAGTTCTGTCATATAAGTCGGTGCCATGTTATTTAAAGTTTTAAAAACTAGCACCGCCTCTGTCAAGGAACGGTAACCAGTTAAGAGTTTCGAATAGATTCATTGACGGAGATCTTTGCGGTTGCTGTAAAATGAATTTAGCAATTCGTTTTTGTAATTTACAAACATTATTTATGTAGTTAATACAACAATAGTCCATAATTGGCAATATACGTATATGCTTTGTAAAACAATAATTTCATATCAAGATTTTTTCAAGATTTTATTATTCACTCAATACACAATACATGTAAATATGAGGTATTAAATAACAAATTACAAATGTTAACGAGGTTAATAGTATGTAACTCACACATCTTACAATATTCTTTTAACATAGACAGGAGAAAGTTTTACATTCATACAAAATAAAATGAATTATTTCAAAAATATTTATCAAAGTTTAATATAATAATTCAGTTCAATATTTTTCTAAGATTATTTTTATAAACATGCAAAGTTTTTATATATCACATAATTAGAGGGGTCAGTGTTCATTAATTTATCAAACTTTTATTATATTTGGATTTCTATAATAGATTTCAGAGATATATTTTTTTTCTATCCGTATTAAGATTTGGGCATTCTAATAGAAAATGAAATTCGTCGCCTATGTTATGATTGCAGAGAGTGCATTTTCTCTGTTCTAAAGGGATCCTATTGACAATTTCCAGTTTCGACCGGTAGTTTATGATTTCTGGTTCTGAATTTGATCATATATTTTAAATATTTTGGAAGGTGTTTCACTAAGATATTTTCTCAATGTCAAATTTTCTTTTAAAAATAAAATATTTTTTTGCAATTAGATGTGTTTTCTAAACCTGAGTACCACTGATTTATGAATATATCTGATAATTTTTGTTTAACTGATTTAACCAGCCAATTTACGTTAGGAAATTCATGACTCATCCAAATATTAGCCATTCCACATTCTATAAAAAATATCTTTTATGCAAGTTATCCATTTGAAATTGAAATTTTGAGTGACTATTTTTAAAATTACTCAATGCAACTGCATATATTTCTGTTGTAAGCTTTTTGTAATTTGTTACAATTAGTTTTGCCCAAAAGGAAATCATCCTTGCTTTAATTTCCATATAAAAGTATAGGTTTAACCATTTTATTAAAAAGATCAATTTGAATATTTATAGGTAAGCAGAGATGTTTGCATTATTTAATTAAAGAATACATGGCTTTTGTAGCTTGTTTGGCAATTTCTTGCTTTGTTTTGAAAAAAAGAACCAGATCTGTTAAATAAGACACCTAAATATTTGTATTCATTTACAATTTCTAAAGTTTCGTTTTTGAATGTAAAAGTGTATTCGCGTTGTCTTCCTCTTGAAAATACAAGTACTCTTGTTTTAGAAGAATTTAATTTAAGTCTCCAAGCATCACAGTAATCAGCGTAGATATTTAAAAGGTTTTGCAAGTCTTCATTAAAACGGTGTCGTCTGCATAAAGAAGTATGAAAAGTTTTACAAAATTTATAGCTTCTGTTTCGAACTCATGTTTGTTGCATTTTACACCTGATGCTATATTACTACTATAAATAAAATCACTTAGATCATTTAAGTATAGAGAAAAAAGCAGGGGAGATAAATTTTCACCCCTGTCGGACGCCCACATTACAAGGGAAGTAATCAGTTTTTACTCCATTTACAAAAATGCATGACTTAGCTTTTTCATACATGTTTTTTTATAACATTTAAGAAAGATCCATTTATATTGTTAAGAATAAGTTTTCCCCAAAGACCCTCTCTCCAAATAGTATCGAATGCGAATGCTGCCTTTAAGTCGACAAAAGCACAAAATAAAGATTTTTTACTGGTTCTTAGAATTTCTATTAGCGAATTTAAAACAAATAAGTTATCTGCAGTTGAATAACCTTTACGGAAACCGGCTTGGCATTTATCAATTAAGTCGTTGTCAGTACAATATTGTTCTAGTCTGTTATTTAAGATTAACGTAAACAATTTACCAAGGCAGCTTAAAAGGGTTATTGGTCGATAATTTGATGGATCAGAAGGGTTACCTTTATTTTTAAATATTGGGTTTACTAAACCTGAAGTCCATGCGATAGGTATTTTGCCTGTTTTGAAATACTATATTGAATAATTTAAGAAAAATATTTCTTTAGTGTTGGGAAACGAATATTTTAAATGTTCATTCAATACATTGTCAATACCACTGCTTTATTTATTTTTCAAATGATTGATAGCTTTTTCAATTTCCTGTATTGTTATGGGTTTGTTATATCAAAGTGCAAAAAATACGATATTGTTTTCAATAAGGCAATTTTCCGTTAAGTTTTTACAAACATTGTCAATTAGCAAGTGCCATTTTAAGTTGTAATCTATGCAAATACCCAGAACTTTTATATACATTTTCAAGAGCTATTTCATTTATCTTAAGATACAATTTTCTCATAATATTTACTTTTTGTCTTGTTCCAATTACCATACATTTTGATTTATCTAGATTTAAGGCCATATTATTTATTTTGCACCATTTGTCAATGTTATTTAAATGATCTTGAAGTTTTATTTCTACTTTTGATAAATTTTCTCCGGACTCATAAAATGTAGAATCGTCTGCGTATAAATCAATTTTTATATCATTACCAATGAAAGCTATGTCATTTATGTATATTAGAAATAATATAGACCGTCGATTAGTATCCCAGCCATCTGTTAGGGATTCATTTGACCAATTTATTCTGGGCATATCAAAATCACCCGGGATCTAAATTGAGCTATTCCATGGAATATTTCTTAGGCTCGAACTTCTAATTATTATTAGTTCGTTCTTATTGTTGACCAGAGTTGATTAAGGAATTATATGCGCATTACATTCAACAGTATGGCTGTACATCTTACAGAAAGTAAATAACAACCGATATTCAGAGTTTATGTACTTTAGAGTCGATCCGGCTTACATCGGACATCGTCGTTCATCGGACACATTCACTCTGACGTAATTTTTATAAGTTTTTCTCTACATACACACTGCTCTCGATACTTCACTGTTTTCGGGAGACATACCTTAGAAAATACAAATCGAACTCGCCTAAAATGACGTAATTATGTATCGGGATTTTGATTGGTCAAAATAACGACACTCTTTTATTCTACTTTCATTTTGACGTCACAGAAAATATCAGAGAACTGAAAAAATTGAGGTATATTTACTCTCCAATATCGTGCAAGAGACCGTGGTCTCTTCTTGG